CACTATCTCTGAGAAAAATCATGGATGGAGTGACCAATTTGTTGTTCTTGTGACCACATCATAATTTTCCCCACAAAGAAGATGCAGATCTTTGATTCTTGTTCCGCCTTGACGATTGATATAGTCCACTGTAGTTCTGTTGACGGATTGGATCTTCACTGTTTTGTTCAAAATCCAGATTTTGAATATTTTTAGAGCTTACCAAACTGCCTTGAGTTCTCTGTAATTGGATGAATGATTTGCTTCTTCCTGATTCCACAGCCCCTGGCGGAATTGTGACAGAAGATGTGCTCCCCATCCTTGTTTTGATGCGTCCGTCTTAAGAACTATACAATCCTTTTGATGGAATGGAAACCCAATTGTCAGGAATCTTGACTGTTTCCACCAATTCAACTGATCCTGGATTGATACAGGCTTAACTTTAAATTCAGATCTTCATCCCTTCTTGTCCAATGAGATTAGATTTCTCATTGGAGTAGATGTATTGCTGATCTCACCCACTTGACGGCGGGAATTGTGGATGTAAGGGTTCCTTAGAATATGTATTGCTAGTCTTATAGTGCAATGTTGTTCTTCTTGGAGAAAGGGTATTTCCTTTTTTTATCTTTTGCCTCTTTGACAGCGGAAGATGTAGCGATTCTTAGAATCTATGATGAAACCCAGAAATTGTATCTTTAGAGTTGGGAGAAGCAGTGATTTTTTTTTTTTTATATTGATGATTCAACCATGTTTTCTGAGAATATGCATTGGAACCTGAAGATTCTCTTCCAACTGCCTTCTTGGTTCTCCTGTGATAAGCCAGTCGTCTAAATATGGCACCAACTAAATATCCTTTTCTCTTAACCTTGCTGTTAATAGCGTAAGGAGATTGGTAAAAATTCTTGGTGCCGAGGCGAGCCCGAAAGGGAGAGCCTTGAATTGGAAATAAATGATTCTTGTACCGGAGTGAATTGCAAACCTTGTTGCTATTGCCATGGGGACGTAAAGATAGGCATCCTTTAGAACCGTCGCCATGAAAGCTCCCTTGTTTAACCCCTTAAGGACCAAACTTCTGGAATAAAAGGAAATCATGACATGTCACACATGTCATGTGTCCTTAGGGGGTTAAAGGACCACTATATGTACCCAGACCACTTCAGCTTAATGAAGTGGTCTGGGTGCCAGGTCCACCTAGGTTTAACCCTTTTTGATGTAAACTTAGCAGTTTCAAAGAAACTGCTATGTTTACAGTGGGATTAATCCAGCCGGTAGAGGCGCTTCCACGCTTCTCACTGTGATTTTCACAGTGAGAAGACGCCAGCGTCCATAGGAAAGCATTGAGAATGCTTTCTTATGGACTGGCTGAATGCGCGGCTCTTGCCGCGCATGCGCATTCAGCCGATGACGGCGAAAAGGAGGAGAGTTCCCCGCGCCGAGGGAAAAAGGTAAGGGATTAACCCCTTCACCCCCTAGAGCCTGGCGGGGACCTAGAGACCCTATAGTGCCAGGAAAACGAGTATGTTTTCCTGGCACTATAGTGGTCCTTTAAAATGTGGGCAATAGATAGTGTCCATCCGGAACTTCTGTTATGGAATCAACTTGTTGACATTTTTCAAGTCCAGAATTAGTCTGACAGACTGATCTTTTTTTGGTACCAGAAAAAAATCTTGAATATACACCTTTTCCTTCCTGTAGTTTTGACACTCTTTCCATGACTCTCTTTCTTACCAGAGCCACCGCTTCTAATAAAAGTGCTTCCTTCTTCTGTGATGGGTAAGATGACAGATGAAAGCAATGTTTTGGTTTCTCTGAGAACCTGATCGTGTACCTTTCTTTTATCACCCATAGAATTCAAGGGTTTGCCGTTGATTCTTCCCATGCCTTGTAGAAATGTTGCAGTTAGAATCTCTTCTTCTCCTGTCTGATAGCGTTCTTGTCGTGAAACTTGTCTCTAGTTGGCCTTCGAAAAAAAACTATTCCTATCATACCTCCCAGTTCTTTGAGGACGGTATTGAAATCTTCTATAACCAGACGAATATCTGTTTTCCTGTAGTAAAGTTTTTTTCGTGTCCGACATTTGCTTAATCATTTTCTCTAGCTGAGAACCAAAACCATTTTCCACTTTCTAGTGGAAGTTCTCACAGGGAAGCTTTCGATGCTGTATCAGCGGACCATGAACGAAGCCATAATGCTCTTCTAGCCACCGATGCCAGCCCCATTCCGTGTGCAGTTTTAGATTTTCCTCCGACATTTCAAGCATAAAATCATTTGCCAAACGGACGTTGTACAAAAGTGAGGAATTTCCTTTTCCGCACCTCCCATCAGACAACTCAATTGCTTGAAGCCACACTTTTTGAGCTTTCATGACAAACACCTGCCACTGCAGCCTTACTCTAAAAACCTACTGTTCTACAGGATGTTTCCACTCTATCCATTGGATTTATTTAGACCAGAAAATTCACTGATTGGCAGGGTAGTTTTTTTTTTTTTTTTGACAGTTGTGCAACCTGTGTGTCTACTTTAGGTAGATCCTCCCAGCTCAATGCATCTTGTATTCCAACTAGTTCCTTAAAATGTTTGGCAATTAACGCCTCTTTCTCTAGATTCTTCCATTCCCTATAGATTAGTTCCATGAGTTTAGGTTCTATAGGGAAAACGTTAACCTTTTTTGTTGAATTATCTTTGGATAATACTGCCACTGCTTCTTTAATAAAACTTTTCAATTGTTCGGTAGGAAAACAGTCTTCCAAACTTGAAGCTTTGCTGGAAAGTGACGTGTATGATGTGTCTGAGCATTTTCCTGATGATAATTCAGACACAGATTTACATTTTTTGGAATCCTTCTCTTGTGATAGTGTAAGAACTTTCGTTGTATCTTTAAGACTCAAAGGTTTGTGCAAGGTTATCCTGGAACCAGTGAAGAAAATTCTGCATATTCTGCTTAGTTCTCTCAAAATTTACACATTTTCTTCCTGCGTCTATCTGCTAGTGGTGTATCGCATTCTGCACAAGTGCTATGTTTGGATTTAAATGCAGCTTTTCTCAATGCACTTGCCGACATTGTCTCCTTGTATACATCTTGAGGAGACGTTGGGTTAGACATCTGAAAATAAAATAACCACTTTAAGCAACTTTGGGCAGACTAGATGGGCCGAATGGTTCTTATCTGCCGTCACATTCTATGTTTCTAACTTTACCTTTGAAGAAAAAAAACATCTACTCATTTCTTTATTATTGCAACTCCATTGGGAGACCATCTGGGAACACCTGTTACCCAAACTGAATTCCACACGGCATAAAGCTGTCCATCCATTTGATCTGTAACTTGTCCACAGAGCTGGGCTCTCAGGTCCCCCCTAAACAGCAACCAGTGCGCTTCACCAGTCTTAAATGCCATACCGAATGGGACAAGAAATACTGCAGATCCTGGGGGGCAAGTCCAGTATTTAAGAGGAAAGTTGGTGGGATTATTTAAAATAATTTATTTTTAGTCAGCTTGACCATAAGGATACAACCCACTGGTACTGCCACTATAATAAAAAAAAGTATTTACAGTAAGTAAAATTTCTGCTATCCTCAAAAACTGGTTCCTGTACTTTGTTCTTCTCTAAATGTCATTGTTATAAAGACAATGAATATTTAAATTTAACCAACTGGTTTATAATTAAATTTATAAAAAATATTTTCAGTCAGCTTGTCCATATTAAAGGAACACTATAGTCACCTAAATTACTTTAGCTAAATAAAGTAGTTTTAGTATATAGATCATTCCCTTGCAATTTCACTGCTCAATTCACTCATTTACGAGTTAAATCACTTTGTTTCTGTTTATGCAGCCCTAGTCACACCTCCCCTGACTATAATTGACAGAGCCAGCATTAAAAATAAAACTGGTTTAACTTTCAAACAGATGTAATTTACCTTAAATAATTGTATCTCAATCTCTAAATTGAACTTTAATCACATACAGGAGGCTCTTACAGGGTCTAGCACGCTATTAACATAGCAGGGGATAAGACAATCTTAATTAAACAGAACTTGCAATAAAGAAAGCCTAAATGGGGCTCTCTTTACAGGAAGTGTTTATGGAAAGCTGTGCAAGTCACATGTAGGAAGGTGTGAGTAGGGTTCATAAACCAAGGGATTTAACTCCTAAATGGCAGAGGATTGAGCAGTGAGGCTGCAGGGGCATGTTCTATACACCAAAACTGCTTCACTAAGCTAAAGTTGTTCAGCTGACTATAGTGTCCCTTTCAGGATACAACCTCACTGGTACTGCCACTGTTAGGAAATTACTTGCCATTTAGAGAGAAGTTGGCTTAGGCCATTTCACTATACTGATAGGTATAAACAAATTGTACAATAAATTGTGTAATTTGAGCCTCAAGTAAAACCAAGTGAGAAAGGATGATTTATTATGTGTAAATTGAATACATACAGACCCCTCAAATTCCTTGTAAACACCTGCATAGGGTCAGTATTTAATAAAACTGCTTTAAAGGATAACATGGTGTAGTGATATGGTCTTTAATATATTCAGATTTTGACTTTTATATACGAATTGTTTATGGTTCTGTTAAACCAAGCTGCTATATGACCCATTACCACATATTCAGGGTTGCAGGGAAGGGTTACAAATAAGCTGTAAAGTCAGGAGGCAGTTTAGTAGTAGGTGTGCAGATTTCTAGGTAGCTAGAGAGATTTTAGGTTTTTCTGGGAGCAGAGTTGCGAATGGTGAGTAAGTCAGATTGGCACAAGTAAAATATAATTAAAGCAAAGTTGCTAATTTGTATGCCCCTGTGGGGGAGGGGGGAACCAACCACTGCCTTTTTCCCCCACAGGAAGAACTTGTCTGTGCTTTATTTATTGTACAGTTTTAAAGATTTGCCTACCATGCATGTGTGCTAGAATTGTATCCAGTGGCAATTTTACTAGTAGTTCTGCAAAACATTTCATTTTACAGTTGGCAAATATAAACCTTTAATTTTGAATATCAGGAACAAATAAAACAAAACGCAAGATTGATTTCCAGTGGGCTTTTATTCAGTTAAAACAAAGTAAAAAAAAAAAAAAAATCATTCCAGATTGTACCATTTATCTTTAATGTTTTACTCATCTGACAACCTTAAACTGGGAGGAAAAGTAAAATAAACCTGCCCACTGGGCCATTTTCTATCAATACAATGCCAATTTGTATTTGTTAGCAGCTTAGTTGCACACTTTGTTTAGACCTCTTCACTTTAAAGCATTTATGGTTTAACTTTTAATCCTCAGAATTGTGTCTAATGCAGCTAAACTGCTAAATCATAGTTATAGAAAATGGCAGGGTATAAACCCTTTCACTGGATGGTACCATCTAGAAGATGAGCACCACAATATTCCAGGAAAAGTGCTTTTTTTGTTTTTTTAAATGTATTTTTAATCCTATTGCTGACTAAGATCATTGGTCTTCAATGTAGTCATTTTCTGGTAGCAAGAAAGTTTATAGCCAAGACCCACCCATCCCATCCCCTGAATAGGGTACAACTCTGTAACCCTTGACCAAAAGATCTAAAACTAAAAACATTTTAGGAAAAATGTGCCAACACTCCTTTTAATTTAAAAAAAAAAAAAAAAAATTTAATGTACTTCTTGAATAAGGAAATATGAAAGTTTGCCCAAATTAAATCCTGAGCCCAAACTTCAGTGGCACAAAACATATTCCAGCCGATTGCAGAATATGGACAATATATGGGCAGAAAAAAAAAACCTATATGTTCAGCTAGGAGGAGGATAAATTTGTCCTAACATGTTTGAGGTTTACAGATCCTAACCCAACCCATAAAACAAAAACAGAATGAGATGATTAGCCTGTGCCATGTCAGGTGGTGTGAAAAGTTCTTGCACCAATGACACTGAACAGGAATACCAAAATAGGTTTGCTTTGTAGAGCAGAGAGATTTAACATATCTGCTCTACATAGCACAAATTTAATAAATCTGAAGTTATTGCAAAGGAAAGATGCTCCCATCTCATTCTGAAAAGAAACACATTGATACCTTCCCTCCCATACCCAAATGTGGATTCCCATTCCAAATTAACCATTACAACCGAAATGCTAGGTGGAATATTTTGGTGAGGTTACTCTGATGCCAGAGAAACTGCAGTGTTGTCTGCATTAATTTCGACTATAAGTCTTCAAAACGGGGAGGGGGGAAAACTGCAGACACAGCAATGGCAGGGAGTGCTGCAAAAACTTGGAAGACTGCAAAAGACATTTTAAACCTTTTTCTTCTAATTAGGGGTTAAAAAAATTATATTCAGGTATTTTAGAGCATCTTTCCATTTGCCTTTAGTAACTATTCCCCCCCATCCCCACCCTCCTCCCTGCATTGAAACTCACAGCACCAAACGCAATACAGCTTCTTTAGACAGCTGCCATTATATTCCTATAGTGCTCAGCCTGTGTTAAACCCATTTGTCTGCTTTGAAGCTTATAAAGGTACAGCATGTACTCCGGCAGAAATTGAGTTATTTTAAAGGGAGAGGGGGGAAAAAAAAAATCTCACTTTTACAAGGATCATGGCTTTAGCACCAGCATAGCACTACCCTTCAAGAGTTGCAAATTCTGTAAAGGAGCAGAGGTGCAATACAGCACGATGGCATGTGCTTATGTAAATCGGAAAACAAAGGGAAATGTTTATTGCACCATGATCCCCAAAAAATAAAAATAAATAAAAAACCTTCAGTAGTAGAGCAAAATGTATATCTCCATATATAGAAATCTTAAATACAACCCATAAAAAAACAAAAACAAGCCAATTGTGCTCTAGCAACTCTGAAGTTTCAGTATTTTAAGATTTTGTGAACATTGCACAGCAGCTGCCACTGGCCAGCTATGCTTATGGTGCACCTGGATGTGTAATCATAAAATTTACCATGTCAGATGGGCCAGGCTCCTTTATAGTAAAATTTATTTCTTGAAAAGGGGAGGGGGAGGAGACTGAGGCACTGTGCATAGTATGTAAACTGTTTAATTCTTCACAATCCAGGTGCAGCCAGTTTGTTGGGAGGGGGAAAATAAAAATAGATGGCTCCTCACTCATTGCCTGTATATAAGGCCAAGCATCAAGCATAGTGGGAGAGGCACAATTCAAAGTATCACTTTGCAGAAATATGAAGTGGCATTTCTGTAATACTGGACAAAAAAAATCCTGACCAAAAACTTGGGTTAATAATTTAGTGATTAAAAATAAGTTTGTTCTTAAATTGAGAACTGCACTGCAGCACACAAGTTACATGTTAACTCTTACAAGAAAATCTCCATGTTGATTTGAAGATAAAAGCCAAAACAAGTAATCCACTTCATGTGGTGAAAGATTTGAGATAGAAAGGTGGCATATCTTCAAGTTGCCATTTCCCAAATACATTTTCCAAAGTGATGCTAGAAAATGAGCCTCTCTCATTTTTAGTTGCTGTCCTAACCCACTCACATTCCCTCAAACCATCAGTTAGGAAAACCAAGAAGAAAAAAAAAACCCTGAACAATTTATAACCTTCCCACCCACCCCAGAAAACAAAACAAAAACAAAAAAAAACTATTTACATTATTGTACAATTATTCACATCAAATTCTCTAGTATCATCTCCTCCCCCCTACACCCCTCATGCAAGGGACACTTTGCAAGGAAGGGGGACATGGCTTTGGAATAAGTTTTGAAAGGAAGTTGCTGCAAGGTGGCACAAAAATTAAAAACCAGCCTTTAGTGTTCACTTGGGAACAAAAGGATTCACATCAGCAACAACCATAAAATATAAAGAAAAAAAAAAAAAAGAGGGAAAGGTTTCTGGAACACACTTAAAAGCCTCCCAAAATGTTTTGACATTGGTGCAGATTTTTTTTGCTTAAGTACATATATACATATATTATGGGGACCTGAAGTTATGTTTTTTTTCCTAGTGAAAAAAGAAAAAAAAAAAGGGAAAAAAAAGTTGAAGATTTACAACTTTTAGCTAGCCTAATAGCACCAGCTTACAAAATTGTATGTTTTATATGGGTGATAAAATGTAGATTGGGTTACTTATGTTTTCTGTATGAGTTTGCATCGGAAAGATGATTTTGAATGGTCTCGTAGCGTAAGGCACTTTGCACAAGTAAAGATAGTTTGGTTACAGTAAAAGAAAAAGATGCCACAAGAGGATGCAAAGGGAGAATGAACCAAGTTGGAATCTAAACAACTTTACATCCAAGGACTGCAATAAATTAGAGTAAATTGCTTTGTTGGCCTCCTGGAGAGTAGAGAAGCCCGTAACAAGTTACAGCCTTTTCTAGCTTACAACAGCATAGAGGGTTTCCAGTATCCATCATGCCACAAGGGGTGAGGGGGGCAGGGAGGAACAAAATAAAGCCATTAAGTGCAACTTATGAGAGCACGCAGTGCCAACATTGGGGACATTCATAAAATCAGGGTGGGGAGTGCACAAAAGGGAAAAAAAAAAAATTCTAAACTATGCTGGTCAGTGTTCCAGATGAAGACAAACGTCTAGAGAGGCAGTTGAGAGTAGGGGAGAAACCCTTAAGAAAGTGATGTATGAATGTCAGGATATTCTCTTCTTCAGGAGGACTGTCACCTGCAGAAACAAAAGTAGACATAAGATACCTAACTCCTGTGACAAATTTAATGTAATTCCCTTTTGCCATTTGATTTACTGTAGCAAAAAGTACATTGTCCATATTTAGCACAAGTTTTTCCTTAAAGCAGACATGTCACTTCTCATATTTAAATAAACAGGAAACCAGTCTTGAATCAATGCAATTCTATGGGTAATGTTCAGTGTCTCCACGCAGAGCTTGGAGACTGAACGCCAGTGCGGCACCAGAAAGCACCTCTAGTGGCCGACTGAGTGACTACACGAATTCCTAGCAACACCCCCAGTGACAAACACTATGCCTACAGGGACATACTATAGTAACCAGAATAGCTACAATAAGCTGTAGTTGTGGTCACTATAATTTCCTTTTTAGGACCATATTAAGTTCTATGCAGTGCTGGGCTTTATTGCTCAGTGACTGCAGATCATGCAGTAAAAAACCAGCAGGGGTTAAATTGCCGGTACCAAGGAACCGCCGATATCTTTATACCCAAGGATCCTCTCTATCAGCTGGGACCAAAATTAGTGGCATTAGCAGTGTGCACAATGATTCTGTTCACTGCCTGTTCCAACAAAAACCATTAAGCGATTAAATTTAAATGGAAATTTTCTTGTACATACAGGGAAACTCTAATCTATGCATTTTACAAAAAAAACTTTATTAAGTTCGTGGTGAACTTGATAAAGTTCACATATTGAAGATTCACCTATAAAGTACAAAAACCCTCCAAGGACCATAACCACTAAAATGCAGTGTATTGGTTAGTAGCAGGAGTGACCTGGCAGCTCCTACCCTAAGCAAACTGTTTTAGAATGGTTTGGCTTACCTGGAGTAAGCTGGGCACAGATCCAAACCTCCACACTCAGGAGACCTGGAAGCTCATGCTCCGGTGGATTTTCACATTTACATTTTATTTCTCACCTCAAATATTTGATAAAAATAAGGGATAAGTAAATACCCTTTGAGTGACAGTGCCCCTTTACGACATTAACATAAAAGTCAAAACACAATTTAACCTACATCAGGCATCATAACTTTGAAAGAAGAGCAGATTTTAAAGATATATATATCCATCTATCTTACCTGAAGGCTAATGCTTCTCTCCAGATTCACTGTGATATTCAGCCACATACAGACTCTTATCGATACTGCTGGGTATGGGCTTTATTTCTGTTCCCAGCTGCTCTTCAATACTTTTAAGGTTGAATCTGTCATCGTAGGTAATCAAATTTATGGCAAGACCAAGGTGTCCAAAGCGACCTAGTGTATAATACAGACCACAAGCAGACTATGAACCAAAGTGCTGCCATTATAACTAAAGAAACCCATAACAAATAACTGCAATACTCTAGCTGTTTATCTTAAAACATTTTGTGGCCTGTCACTAGCAGAACATTTTTGGAGCTAATTGCAATCTACTAGATAGAAATGTGTAGGTGGAAACATCTAAGTAGATGTAACAGCTAACATGTGGAAATGATCACAAAATGCATTTCTAATAATTATTCCTTACAAAGATTGTTATAGTTAAGACTTTAAAAAAATGAGAAGGGATATAGTTAGTATATCCTAACCATATATGGAACAAACATTTATTCCTCACCTGATCTTCCTATACGATGCAAATAAGTCTCTGCCAGTTTTGGGAAGTCAAAGTTTATCACCACATTCACAGCTTGAATATCAATACCACGGGTAAACAGATCTGAGAAAGAGAAACTGGTTTTAGTAAGAAATATCCAGGAACATACTGGCCACACGACATGTTAACCAGCAGCAATTAAAAGTAAAAATGTTTTTCACACTGGTGATATCCACAAAAAAATAAAATAAACGCATAGGTGCTCAAGTGCACAGAAGACAGTTTCTGAATGTAGAATAGGTCATCCATCACAAACTGAAAATACTACAATTGCTCTTCAGCATAAGGTGTACTGACACTGGAAAGCTGATCTGGCACCCAAAAAGTTAAGCAATATGCAGAGCAAAGCGATTTAGACTAGAAACCAAATGAAAGTACAAGATATGAAGGCCATCTACAGTTAAAATGCATTAAGAAGGTGAAATATCTTACCAGTGCAAACAAGATTACGGCATAAGCCATTTCTGAAGTCGTGGAAAACTCTATTCCTATGCTCCTGCGAATGAGACCGAAGGAATTTAAAATTTTACTACATTACTAAAGTAAAATAATTAAAAACACCAACTGATTCAGCTCATTTAAGTGACTAGTTCTCTGGTGTTTTAATTCCATTCCGCATTAAACCATTTTTAATAACCCATTCTCTCTGCTGCTTGGGCTAATGTGGAAGCATTAGCCTAAGGAGCAATGGGCAGCTGTGAATGGTTGAGTGTCAACTGACCACATTCAGCCTATCACAGTACCATTGCAGGTATGAATCAACATAACTGACATCTCCATTTTAACAGCTTTTGTGAAGGAGGGGCAGTTGGAAGCCAAGGACAAAAAGTTTAACAGATGGGACAGTGCCAAGGCATACCAGGCACCATAACCAATTCAATGAGATATGGTAGAGTGTGCCTTCAACAATTTAACTGCCAGTGTTTGCCATTTTAAGGTTAACCACAATGGCTGCAGTAAGCCACATCTGGTCCCCACCTGTTTATTACTTGAAACAAAACAATTAAAAAAGTTATTCAGTGTTTACATGGCAGGGTTAAATCATATGACATGTAAGCCCACATCTGAAAATATTTTTTCAAACCTTTCCTATGGGAAAGCTTTCACACAAGCGTAACACTGGACATGCACAGGTCCCCAATACACGGAGGAGTACTGGATTGGACAAAGTGAAAAGGCAATGCCTACTCCATGGTGGTGCGGGAGGCAGAGAAAGAAGCAGTGCCAATGGAGCCTCGGTGCTGGAAAAAAGTAAATCATCCAATTTGTATTGCTTAACGGCCACTCCACCACCTGTCAATCTACTCTTGGCATACGTCTCTAGGCTGGCAGTATAGAGGTCTATGGAGAGTTTAATGACAACACAAGCAGGTTGTTTTCCTGGCCTGTCACTGAACATAGAAATTAAGTTATTGATGTCACTTTGTTTTTAAGCTAATGTGCTGACAGTGAAACCAGCATGTTTGTTACATCAGGAAAGATTAGCCCTAATGGGCTAAGGACAATCACTGCAGAGGATGAGTGACTAAGGCAACCATAGGATAACCATAAGGTTAAAAGTATTGAATAATCCTGGTTTGCACATTAGTGGCAGAGCTAGTAAATCTGAGGTTTTAACGTGACTGTTGGTCACAAGGTTCTACAGAAATTTGGAACAAAATATCACTGTTAATGCAATATATCAGTAGAAGTCAATGAGGATCACAAGACTACTGAAAGCAAGCAACCAAAACCACTTCATCTTACTGAAGTGATTTCAGTGCAAATTGCCCTTTTAATAAACAAATGTCAACGTTAACATTTTGCCTAAACTGCACCTCTAGTGGTGTTCTGACAGCACTTCATAGTTTAAGTCCTTATTTTTTTGGACACCCCCCCCCCACCACTCCAAAAAAAACCAAACAAAAAAAAAAAAAAAACACAAAAACAAACCTGTCTCATCTTTGCATGGATATAGAAGCAGGAGTAGCCCAACTGAGAAATCTTCTTGGCCAGTAGCTCTACCCTTTGAGAGGAGTTGCAGAAGATGATAGACTGGTTTATCTGGAGCTAAAAAGCCAACACGTCACAATGGGTCACTAAGTACAGATTTTTAACGATATTACAAGACATACATCAGAAACGTTCAATAAACCTTAAATTTGCAGTAGCAATACAAAGACTTTGTGCTACAATAAACTTTTTGTTTTACATTTTAAGATTACTTTGGTAACAGCATGCATAATATCTACCAAATGCAAGTGTAAAAATCTACACCACTTTATTCAGCAACCGGGAACCTCCATTTTAGCTCCCTGTCAATCATTTTAACACCTGGCTGTCAGAGAGAAAACACGAGAAATGAAACAATGTTTCAATTTCTCCTCTTCATTTCATAATGTCTGACCTGGATTATATCAGTTGCTAAATCTTTTGGTTGCTAAATCTTTACTATAAAATATTAGACAAAATGGAGAATGTTTTAGGAACGCCAACAAGTTTTAACAATGCTTTAATAACTGGTATAAATTTCAGAGAATCTAAAAGTGAGAATGAGAGGGAAGGAGAAAACCAAAAAAAACCACACCTTTAAAACTGAAAACAAAAGCCCAAACAAACTTGAGAAATTTGCATATTTACTAAAATACCAATGCTGCTTTGATGACATGGCTGGTAGCCAGTAAATAGCACATCATACAGCTATCTCAAGATACAGATTTGTAGAAGCTGTATGGCCTAATTTGCATTAACAACTGTCACTTACAGGTTTAATATCCAAAATATGCAACTACCATTCAGATCAGTAAACAGCAAGTAAATCTGAAACTGACAGTTTGTCAGATGCATAACACATGTGATATCATCAGCAGATCCATACTTACCCTTGAGAAGAGAGTGTTGAGGCAGTGAACTTTTTGCCGCTCTGTAACATAGGCATAGTATTGTGTTACTCCTTTCAAAGTCAATTCCTCCATCAAGTTAATCTCATATGGTTTCTGTAAATGAGAAGACTAAAAAAAAAAAAATTTACATCAACTATATAAAAAGCAATACTATAAATGACAGCTAGAAATAAAGAGGACAAACTGATTGCAAATAGGTGCCAACAAAACACAAACTACATAGCACAACCTGTAACGTTTAGTGATGGAAACATGGATGAATGTGACATCTTGGTGCTACACTACAGTTTAATACATTTTGGAGAGTGGTTTACTTTACCATTGCAGCAAAAAACTGAATGAAGGCCTATCCATAATGGAAAGATGGTGTGAACAGCAAGAAATTGACTGGATCGCAAACAGAAATACATTACTGCCCAAGGCAACCACTAGAGGCTGTCACTGATAATCAGGGCTTCCACAGATTGGTACTGGAAAGACTGCAGGACAGACGTTGAGTCTCCACAATGCATAGCGTTGTTGAACGCACCCCATTAAGATTAATTTACTCAAGGGATCTTAAAGAGGAGATGCCAATTGACAATGCGGCAGTTTGCTGCTCATGCACACTAACCTCTCGATGCTTCCCTATGTGGAAGTTATGGATTGGCCAAGGTCATTAAAACATTATATCAGAAAGGCACAGGGCTCACGGCGGGGGAAGAAAGAGTGAACTTCTTTAGTTAATTGGCTGGGGTGAGAAAGTATTCCTGGTGCTTTTTTTTCTTTAAAGCACAATTCATCTATTGAGTTAGCTGATATTTTGCCAACAGAAGAATAGTCAAGCCCGCAACTTTTATGCAGCACTAGGAACATGTAAATACTGAACTTTATTAACTTGAGCACTTTTAAACTAAATCTAAATAACATGTGTATTTACTTCTTTAAGTAGCATAAATTTATACTTACCATAAACTTCTGGACGCTTAAAGGAAATGTGGCAGAGTAGAGGAGAATTTGTCTGTTTTTAGGTAGCGTCATAATTATATCTTCCATTATCTGCACAAAATCTTGAGAGAGCAGTTTGTCCGCCTACATAATGTAAAAAAATAAAAAGGCAAATTGATGAAGACAGTATAAACCCAGCTGGATTTAATAGATTTTAACTTGCAAGGTGGCAGTTTCACTTTGAACATTGGTTCTTATTTGTATAGTACAGATTTGACTTGTCCAATTAGATATTTATGCTACAGTGGCATGTTCATACTCAAGATGATACAAAAGGTAGTAGCAATTGTAATTCGGAATATTTTGTATTTGCAACAAATCAGAAGATCACATTCCTAGGAGTTACCTTTAAGAGGGTCAAGAATAGACAGATAAAGACTTTACACGCAAAACAAATTAACGAAAAAGGATCTGCTTTACAACATGCCTCAAGCACTGGAACCAGATTTCACAAAACAAGTTCCTTATGTGTCTTCAAAACATTTATATAGAACAAAAAAAAAAAAAAAATGACATTTAGCGTGATAATGAACTTTAACGTATTACCTCATCTAACACGATCATCTGAATGTGATCTACTTTAGCTACTCCTTTTTTGATAAGGTCCAGAATCCTGCCGGGAGTTGCAATCACTACATGCACTGGAAAAGGGAGGAGAAAAAGAAAGCTGCATTTCAGAAATGTAGAAAATTTTAACAATTTTAATACACAAGTTCTGCTTCCCATATGAAAACCATGGTCCCTTCTATATAACATGCACCTCCAGCTGTTAGGAACCATAGTCAATAATTCCCTTCAGATATTATCAGCTGCAGCAGTTAATACTTTTAATTATCCCTGCCATCACATACACATTCCTCTTCCTCTGGTCTCATTTCCCCATTTAGATTGTAAGCTCACAGGCAGGGTTCCTCTACCTATCGTATCAGTCTTTCCCCAATTGAACAGCGCTGCAGAATAGGTTGGCATTTTATTACTGGCATTTATAAAGCAAGTCATAAATGCCTATGCATGCTGGGAGCCTGCAACACTTCTACAAACCGAACAGCAGCTCTTAAGCCACCTTTAGAAAATCAACTGTGCTCAATATTTAATAAACTGAAGATGAGATTCCTTTTTCTGCTGAGTGTCCACATCATTATCCCTGCCAAATGTGCATGCTGTACTGCGTTTTGTATATATTAAAGTGGGCTTTGAGAAAAAAAAAAAGCCAAATATGGTATTTTAATTTTAAACCAGCATTAGAGAAAAAAAAATGTTAACTTATTTGAACACACTACAAAACTGCAAGCCTTTTAATTTCCTATAGACTGAAACGCAAACAGCAGCACTTAAAGTATTATCAACAAGGATCTATTTTAAGGGAAGCGAAATAGAGATGTGGATTCTACATTTGATTTTATTTCAGATCGTAACACTTTCTATTAAAATCCATTTTATGTTAAAGTGTTCTATGCCATTTCGATTCAAAACACATCTGAGACCAGGAATGTTGCTGTACACTGCATCCCTTCCTAGAGGTGTATCAGGGACACAAAGCATGCATGGCAATTGCTACACTAAAAAAACCACATTGGTCTCAAACGGCATCATGCCATGCTGAATGTAAAGATCGTTGGAAAACAGACAACAAAAGCCTTTCCTCTGAAAGATCTGTAAAACCAAGTGTGTTCTCAGTGAATTTAAAATTTTTAAGTTTTTTTTATAAAATGTTTTATTCTAAAGAGTTTGGTCTATGCACTATAACCACTACATTACCATGTATTTATTTCAGTGATTAGCATGTCCATTTAATTTTGCATACACAACTTATACTTTCATGGTCATTTGTAACCGTATTACCTGTGTCATCTAGTCTCATAATGTCATCTCGTAAATTTGTGCCTCCTGTTGTTGCCATGACTTTCACCCCTCCCATATGCTTGCTGACTTGAATGCAGATCTGACTGACTTGTAAAGCCAATTCACGTGTAGGTACAATCACCATCGCTGTTGAATATAAAAAAAAACAAACTCGTTAGGCAAGAAGGTATGCAGTCTTGAAAACCACCAGTGTACACCAACTTGCCATAGCTGTATCTTGGGCATAGTTTTATAGAATTTAAGATCAGAAATTTTGGGGCCCATGACACAGCTCAAGGTCTGGGCCCCCTGGTGCATTCACCCGGGTCCGCCCAAAGTGCTACACCCCCCAGTCCGCCCACAGGGATGCAGTGTGTGTACTGATTCTGGTGTGTGTAGTGGATGCAGAGTGTATAGTGGATGCAGATTGTACATTTGTGCAACGTATGAGGTGTATATTAGATGCAGAGTGTGTGTAGCGAATGTAGTGTTTAGTGAATACAGTGTGTGTAGTGACTACATAGTGTGTGTTTGTGTAAGTATGTAATGTGTGTATAGTGACTGCAGTGGATGTAGTATGTGCAGTGACTGCAGAGTGTTTGTGAAAGGATGTAGTGTGTAAGTATTTTTTCCTTACATTAATAGTAATGTTTTATTCCCCCTCCCTGTATCTTACCTGTGGCCAGGGAGGGGGGAGAACACATTGACTGGAGGTCCTGTGGCATGGTGCAGCCCTCCCGCTAACTGTATTCTGCAGGGGGCCCAGCACACTTTAAATATAATTCCCAGCTACTCTGTCGAAGTCTCGCAAGCCGTGCGGGACGTTGCCATGGTAACCCGTGGCAACGCTCTGACGATTGCAGCGCTCGCAAGACTTCGACAGAGCAGCTGGGAATTATATTTCAAGTGTGCTGGGCCCCCTGCAGAATACAGGTAGCGGGGGGCCCGCAGAGCACATATATAGCATTAATCGCTATATATGTGCACATAGCTAATGTGGGGCCCGGGACGCCCTGAGCAGTCCGGACCGTCGGGCCCATGACAACAGTCATGATTGTCATGCCCTGCCTACATATATTGCTTGCAATTGTATATAAAAGGGATTTATTTTTAAACAAATGTGTCAAAAAAACCACACATTTTACGAATATATTAGTGATTCTAGCTCACCTTTAAAACTGAAGTCTAAATGCCGTAGACACAACATGCCTATGTAGAGCTAGTGGTAATTTGAGCCGCATGCACGGTCCATGGTTGAATAGAGTAATTTGAGAAAAACTGGGGGTTCTGTGGCCTTTCCTGTTAGCCTATTGTTACTATGGAATAGATATGCTACCCTAATGGTTCAGTATTTCAAAAATACATAAAATGAAGAAAAAAAAAAAAAAAACACTTATGTTGGTGTGCACAATGTCTCAATGTTTTAACTTTCAAACAAAAGGCATTTAAAGAAAATTAGATAACCACAAGTATATTTTGTAACACACCCGTTGAACATCAGCTCAAATATTCTTCCTTAAAAAAAATAAAATAAAAAAAAACACAATCTGACCTTGAATGCAGTCCCTCTTTAAGTCTAGTCGTTCAAGTAAGGGAATGAGGTAGGCTCCACTCTTGCCAGTTCCATTCTTAGCCCTCGCCAAGATATCTCTACCGGACAATGCAATGGGAATGCTCTCCTCCTAGAAAGGGATAAACAGTTAGCCATGCAAAAGAAAAATCTTAAATGGCCATGACCACAAGTGAAACAGCTACAATTTCGTGTCAATTTGCATTGACACGATTTGATTTTAACCAACCTGAATTGGTGATGGTTTCTCCCATCCCATTTCAAAAATTCCCATGAGCAGCTCTCGTTTTAAACAGTAATCTTCAAATTCATTGCCTTTTGTTGAGGTGACATCCTGTAATAGGTAACAAAAGAATCTTGTAAACGGTTCACACAAAAAAGTTCTCAGACAGTTTAAACCCAAAGTGGCCTCCTGCACTAATCTCAACATCCCCCAGGCAGTATACAGCTTCAGAAATCTTAATTTCACAAAGCGCAGCTGCTGATTGGCTGAGCAGTCAACTGACGCTCTCAGCCAATGTCTCACCACTCACAAAAATGGCCTGAAATTTTTTTTACAAATGGGGAGTTAGTGATTGGTCCTTTAAGGCCAGAGCAGCTGGACAGCTTAGCATAAGGAATACAAATTCAGTGACTGTACCAGCTCTACCAGTATTAAGTATTTAAAGGGACACTGTAGGCATCCAAATCACTTCAGCTTATTGAAGCAGTCTGGGTGCAATGTTCCATCACCCTTAACTAGCAGCATGTAATTATTGCTGTTTTTACAAACTGCAATAATTACCTGCTAGGGTTAACTCCTTTAGTGGCTGTCTGGACAGAAGGGGAATCTATAGTGCCAGAAAAAAAAAAAAAAAGAAAAAAAAAGTTTTCCCAGCACTATAGTTTCCTTTTAACTTTTCTTCCTCAGTGTCAGTCTCCTTGGAGAAGCTCTGTCTCTTTGGCTGAGATAAAGATCAATGATCTCAGCTAATCAAATGCTTTCTCATCAGAAATGGCAAAACAGCACTGTGCGAATCAGATCTCAGACTGATTAAAATGGTTTTAAACTGCCATTTCAAGGAAGCACTTACTTATAGTGGTGCTCATATTGACAACAAGAGGCACGTTAACCCGGCAAAACATTGCCATTAAAGCAGAACGGCAATGTTTTCAGCTGCATGGTTATAGACACGGAACACACATGGCACCCAGGCCACTTCTGTGAGATGAAATTATCTGGATGCCTATGGTGTTCCCTTAACCCCTTAAGGACCAAACTTCTGGAATTAAAGGGAATCATGACATGTCACGAGGGGGAAAGGGGAAGAGAAAGAGGTGTTAATCTCAAACTGTTACCATTAATAGTTTCATTCTTACTGGAGGTATTAGAATATTAGTCTATTAGTATAAACACCACTACATAAAAAAACAAAGTGAACACAAAAATGACGCAAGGTGATAAAACAGGGAAATATAAAATAAAAATCAGCTTAGATATCCTTTAAAGAGGGTCCCTGTCCCCTTAACTCTGCAATGTAAAACACTGCTGTTTCAGAGAAACTGCCATTTTTACATTACAGGGTTAAAGGGACACTATAGTCACCAGAACCACTACAGCTTATTTCATTTGTTCTGGTGAGTAGAATCATACCCTTCAGGCTTTTTGCTGTAAACACCGTCTTTTCTGGCCGCCATTCAGATGGCTGCTAGAGCCGCTTCCTATCTCAGCCTTTCCTACTGTGCATCACACCATATCAGTATCTCCTCACTCTGCATGCAGACACTGAGCTTTCCTCAGAGATGGATTTATTTAATCTCTGAGGAGATGCTGATTGGCCAGGGCTGTGTGACTTGTGCTGGCTCTACCCCTGATCTGCCTCCTTTACAGTCTCAGCCAATCCTATGATTGGATCAGACCACCACTTCTGATGTCAGCAGACCGCTTGCTATTCTGAGACAGACAGGGGCAGAGCCAGCAGTTTCAGGCTTGAATACAAGTAAGATTTTACTATATTTAGGGAGGCAAGAGGGGGCTAGATGACCTATAGGGTCAGAAATATAGGTTTGTGTTCCTGACCCTATAGTGCTCATTTAAGCTTGCCTCTAGTGACTAATACATTTTAGTCACTTTTCTATTCCCAACGCTATAGTGTTCCTTTATAAGCCCCTTGCAACAAAGTCACTACAACAATAAGTTGAAGTGGTTGCGATGCTTAGAGTATTTAAATCAGGCTTTCCCAAACTTAGGCCTTCTAGATGTAGCCGAACTACAACTCCCATGATCCTTTGAATGAAACAGATAGCCAGAGAATCATGGGAGTTGAAGTTCAGAAACATCTGGAGGGCCAGCGATTGGGGAAGCTGGATTTAAAGTCTCAAACGTTCTATGAACAAAGTAAAGCAAGGAAAATCCCCCAAATGTTGTATCTTACCGAAGTCTTGATTCGGAGATCTTTTGGAGGAAGCTTCAAAGTCTTCTTCCAGTCATCACCAGGTCTGCAAGCAATTCATTTTAGAAGCATTATAAAGTTGCTTTACAAGACTGATACTGCTTACCACAAGTCATGCAACAAAGCATGTCACTCTGCAATGTTCAATGATAAAAACACAAAAACCTCTTGTTGACAATGTGAAATTTTTTTATTAAACACTAAGCACCAAGACTACTTTAGTAATGCTTGTGTATAAATCACGTCCCCCTGCTTTAAACCACTTGTTTATGCAGCCCTTGCCATGATTTCCCTTCTTAAGAATCACACATCCAAAATAAATAAAAATATAAAAATAAAGAGAAAGGGGAGACAAAAAAAATAAATAAAAAAGGGTTCCAGTTTCAATTAGATCTTACAGCTCAGCCTGCTTTGTTTAGAAGTTGGCACCCCCTGTTCAATTAAATTTTAATGCCACATGGGAGGCTATTGCAGGTTCTAGCATTAAGCAAATTTAAAATGTAAAAACACTGAGCAGTAAGGAAAGTTACAATTAAATAAAAATGTAAGGTTTTTTTAGTAAGTGGGAAGGGACGCTGAGTGAGTCAATGAGTTGTGGCTAAGGCTCCATAAACTCTTAACAGGACACTATAGTCACCAGAACAACTACAGCTTATTGTATTTGTTCTGGTGAGTAGAATAATTCCCTTGAGGTTATTGGCAGTAAACAATGTATTTTCACAAAAAAAAAAGTGTTTACATTAGAGCCTAAGGACACCTCCACTGACCACTCTGCAAATGGCTGAGAGGTGCTTTCAGAGGCAGAGCTGCACACCTCAGTACGGACATTTAGTGTCTCCACCCTCTGCGTAGAGACACTGAACTTTCCTCAGAGATGCATTGATGCAGATTGGCCAGGGCTGTGTTCTGCTTGTGCTAGTTCTGCCCCTGATATGTCTCCTTGGCAGTCTCAGCCAATCCTATGGGGAAGCATTGTGATTGGCTTTGATCAACACTTCAGATGAGGTCAGCCAAGATGGCAGATCAGGGGCAGAGCCAGCAGCAGACAAAAATAGTTAAAAAAGTAAGATTTTACTATATTTATGATGATATTTGGGGCAGAATGAGTTTTTAACACTATAGCGTCAGGAACAGGTTTAGTGTTCCTTAAATGGCAAAGTTGAGCAGTGAGCATCATCTATATAGCAAAACCACTTCATTATGCCCTATTTGTTTTGGTCCATAGAGTGTCCCACTGATGTGCGAAGACATACAATAAAAAGTTGAAATTATATTTTAAAAGGGACCCCAAGTAATTTCACCATTACAATGGTCTATTTTATTATTTTTAACATTACCTACGGAGGTATTTTCCAGGCAGCCATATTATGCCACCTCAATCCCATGGATAAATATAGAACTAACAGTTCCACATGTTAGTCTAACATGCAGGCATTACCGGAGCATGCTTGGGGACAATACGAAGACACTATGCACCCCAACCATTACACAGACCTACAAAAAGATTACTATGCTTAGAGACTCTTAATCCACAAACACCAGGTGAGCAAAAGCACTTTACCAACGGTTTGCAAACTTTCCATTCAATCATTACAACATCATGTGCAAACAATTGCTCTTAAAACATTATTCAAATATCTGGTATAGTGTAAATACACATATGTAATGGTTGCAAATCCTTACTTTATACCGCTGCTCATACTCTGTGCTTGCTGTTGACTTCCGTTATTGATTGTGCTGGCATTTTTCAGCTGGTTTATTTGTTGCGTCTGTGTTCCCCCACCTCCAGTCCCTGCGCTGGGTTTTAATGGACCCCTCAGCTGCCCGTTCTGACTGGACAGACCCATTAAAACAGGGTTCTCTGTTCTGGCGGTGCTCATTTTTTTTATTTAAAGTGTCCTTTTGAAAGTTTCAACTTCAGAAGGTTTGAAAGTCAGTACAGAGACTGTAATAACAGTTTATTGAACTCTTCTAAATGAAGAGATAAAGTCTTGCTCAATATATGAGTCCTTGTTATTGCAACACAAACAAGTGCTTGTTCTTGTTTAAGTCTTTCAATTATGAAGTCACTTGCTTTGATGCACCAAATCAAACTTTCTTTATAAAAAAAGCCCTCGAACGAAGACTACACTTGTCTTCTCAATGATATCTAGAAAAAAAATAAAAAAAAATTACACACATTGCAAAAGTTATGCACAAGAAAAATGTTGCACTTTTTGATTTTGGATATACAAGACAGCGGAGTCTGTTTAGGACCCCCAACAAATTTCATGAGGACAGTTTACAGAAAATGTCCATGTACAAAATAGAACATATTACACACCTATCAACACTCCAAAATATGTGGGATATTTGGATTATATAAGAAATTTACTGAAACTCGAGCAGTCAGAACCAGTAATTTATGGATGATATCTTTATGAAATACTGAAGAGTGACAGACCCCGCCAGACTGCAGCCAAGTATATCTTTACCATGTATCAACCTGAGTGTTACGATTTCTAATGCAGGCTGTCTTTCAGTGCATTGCCGTCAGTGGCTGCACTGCGTACATATTTTTCTGGAACAACAAGGGAGCATTCTGTAAATCTTGTTTTTTGCAAATAAATAAAAAGCGCAAGACTTTCACGAGAGAGAACTAAAAAAGCACAAGGCCAAATCCCAAAAAGGAAAGCCACAGTGTTATAAATAGATTTACACTGCAGTGTCCTAAGCTTTGACTTGGCTATAGAGCCAACACACACGTCTAGAATAGTTTATTTCTTTAATCTAAAAGTGTTCCTGTAAGATGCATTAGAACTTTAAAAATAAAAACCTTTTATGGTGGACTTCTCAATGGTAGTAGTAATTCCTTTGACCCCTGCTCCCAGACTAGAAAACACCCAAAACTGCCTCAGAAACAACAAGAGCCAAAATTATGTAGCAAAATACAAAACTCAAGTGAACCAATACAGACGCTAATCCTATTGAAAAACAGGTTTGCAGTAAATTTTTGTTTTTATCCCATATGGATAGTGGCAGTGAGGATATATTTATAAATCCCCAACAAAATTCTACAGAACTGTAGAATAGGTCAAACAGACTAGTATTTGCAAAGAGACATTGGATGCACAGAAACAGTGGGCATTGAGGACCGTATTTGAAATGAGCTTACATTTTAGAGTTAGTAGGGTAAAGTGACAAGGTAAGGATAGGAGGTGTTTCATGTAAGTGAAGAACAGGTTGCTAGAATACCTTACAATGGATGCTTAGATTTTTAGTTGACCGTTGCAGGAGTAGTGTAGGGAGGGAAAGCTAACCGTTTAATTCAGGCTTCCTCAAACTCCAGATGTTTCTGAACTACAATAGATAACTAGATAGGCTGAGAATCATGTGAGTTGTAGTTCAGCAACATCTGGAGGGCCAGAGTTTGGGGAAGCCTTGTTTAATTGATATGCCATTCTAAATAAGAATTCAATTATTTTTGAAGAAATGAAAACTGATGGCAAAATACTACTCAATGGTGGGTATAAGACAACTATTTGAAAAACCTTGTGCCCAAATGCTGCTTTCCTTGGAGGCTTTGATGTCTAATATTTAGTATTAAAGGATCACTATATAGTGTCAGGAAAAACTCGTTTTCCTGACACAATAGCATCCTTAGGACCCCCCACCCTCAGGGTCCCACTTCAGCTACTTACCTTAAACCAGCGCCGGTGACCTCTCCTCCCCCACCGTCAGCTCCAGATTGGAACAGAATGTGCAAGAGCCACGTGCATTCAAACAGTCCATAGGAAGCCATTTCTTTCGGGGAAGCGCCTCTAGCAGCTGTCAAGAAGACAGCCACTAGAGGTTTGATTAACCCTGCAATGTAAACATAGCAGTTTCTCTGAAACTGCTGTTTACATCTGAAGGGTTAAAACCTGGGGGACCTGGCACCCAGACCACTTCATTGAGCTGAAGTGGTCTGGGTGACTAGTGTCCCTTTAACAAGAGATGCCCATGCTGCTGCTTTGCACAGTTGATGCATTGAAGTGCTAGAAGCCCAAGATGTTGAGATGTCTAGTAGTGTTAAGAGGTACCTTTCCGAAGCCTATGGTATAACCTGTGCATGTGTCTCTTGTTCCAGAATATCATCTGACAGAAAGAATCCCTTTGGAAAGTCAGAGGAAATCTGCAAAAATTCTTGGCCAGAATGGGAGGACTGCCAGTACAGATACATGATCCATACTTCTCCGTAATTTTAGGACTTAAAATTGGCGGAAACAAATGTCAGATATTAATCCAAATAGATGAGGAGCGCATCAAATGCTTCTGAATTTTATATCCTGGAGAGATTACAATCTGCTCAGTTTTACTGTCTTTGAACGAAATTAGGCATAGTTCCAGAGGGCTGAATCGGTCAATTATCTGGTGGAAAATATGATTAGAGAGTCCCTGCTACCCCCCCCCCCCAAAAACACTTCTCTATAAACTGATTTGATGCCTATAAAGTACCACTATAGTGCCCTGAGGGTGCCCCCACTCCCGCCAGGCTGCATGGAGAGGAAGGGGTTAAACACTCTCCTCCTTTCCCTGCCATCGGCTGAATGCGCGGCAAGAGCCACGCGCGCATTAAGCCAGTCTCATAGGAAAGCATTCTTGATGCTTTCCTATGGACGCTGGCGTCTTCTCACTGTGCTTTTCACAGTGAGAAGCGTGGAAGCGCCTCTAGCGGCTGTCAATGAGAGCCACTAGAGGCTGGATTAACCCTAAAGTAAACATAGCAGTTTCTCTGAAACTGCTATGTTTACAGCAGAAAGGATTAATCCTAGGTGGACCTGGCACCCAGACCACTTCATTAAGCTGAGGTGGTCTGGGTGCCTATAGTAGTCCTTTAAAACTTTTCTTCTTGCCCCAACTAGTAAACACAGCACTCCATGTTATTAGGGGTCTATAATATCATTGCCATTTATATAACAGATTCCGTAGCGCTTTACAATTTATTATGAGAGGGGGGAATGTAACTAGAAATAGGACAATTACAAGAGAACTTACAGGAATAATAGGTTGAAGAGGACCCTGCTCAAACGAGCTTACAATCTATGCTAATATGCTTTAGTACATTACCAAATAGAGAATGACTATGATGGTGATAGCTCCCATTGTCTTAAAGGGACATTCCAGGCACCCAGACCACTTCTGCCCATTGGAGTGGTCTGGGTGCCAACTTCCACTACCCTTAACCCTGCAACTGTAATTATTGCAGTTTTCATAAATAATTACCTTGCAGGGTTAAGTCCTCCCCTAGTGGCTGTCTAGTAGACAGCCACTATAAGGCACTTCCTGGTCCATAGCACGTTTCCTGTGCTATAGCGTCGCTGGACGTCCTCACGCTGTGTGAAGATCTCCAGCATCGTTAAAATCCCCAAAAGAAAGAATTGAAAATTATTTTCAATGCTTTTGCATAGAGAGGTCTAATGCACATGCGCTTGAGGTCTCCCCAGCCGGCTGACGTAATGAAGGGGAGGATCGGCGGAAGCAGCAGCGACGTGAGGCATGCCTCTAGTAAGTGACTGAAGAGGTTTTCACCCCTTCAGCAGCCAGGGATGGGAAGGGACCTGCAGTGGAGAGTCCCTTTAATCAAAATAGATATTGTGAAGCAACGAAAGAAACAAAGTTAAATAAGCTGAAGAAGCATTTCCATGTTCTGACATTTACATTTTCTCATGCCTGATATTTACATACTGTCAAAGAGAACCATGAGAGCTCATGTATTTTTACTTTTTCTTTAACCAAAAACACCAATCTAGTGCAGAGGTAGTCAACCTTCTGCACACCAGAATATGTGCACCATGTCTCCCCCTGATGCTTTAACAGGATTACAGCTGTAGTAGAATTATGGAAGATGCAGTCCACTGGAGTGTTGGAAGTTGCCTAACCTGTGATTAATTACCCCAAAGAGAGTCACTTTAACGAAAGTGGATTCATTGTTCAAATATGGAATATGCTAGTCACAAAAGTGAAAATCTAAGCATTAAAAGGATGGTCATCTTAGAACTGATCTATGGAAAGAAAAATAAGTCTAAACAGTTACAGTCCACAATAACTGGCATTTATACCATTTTAACATCTGAACTATGTCCACGGCTAATGCAGTTTACCAAGAAAAAAAAAAAAAGTTCACGCCATGGGTAATTAACCTGTTCCCTACCGCCCAATAGTAGGCGGCTTTAGATTTCAGGTGGGTTGTGGGTCCTGCAGAAAACACCCAGTGGGCCTTGATGGCCATGGACCATGGCCAGCAGGGAAGATCCTTTCATCTCCCCTGCTGGCCCATGCAGAGCCAGCCTCGCTGTAAGCCCTCTCGGGCTGGTGAGATCAAAGATTTCGGCCCGCTGGCAGTTACATCAAAGAGGAAAGGGCATGGAAGGCTGTGTGTTTCTCCCTCGAGCAAGCTGGTCAGAGCGTGGCTGTAGATTACCATGGTAATACAGTGCTGTGTTCACAAGCGGACCACACAAACAAAAAAAAAAAAAAAAAAAACACACACAACAACAAAAAATCTATATACACACATAAGACCCTATCTAAAAACAAAACCTTGCACTTGCGCTATAAAATTACTTACTATGGCACTGGTGAGTGGTAAGGGAATTTTACCGAAAATGCAAAACGTGAGCGGTATATATTAAAAGGTTGACTACCCATGGTTTACGCAGTAGATTCAGCAGGAAGTGCCATGAAATTATAAAGTAGTGATTAAACATGTAAGGAAAAAAAAAAGTACACCACACATTTCTAGAAGTACACAATACAGTATGTCCTCAAGAAGCCACCATACATTTGAATAATTAAAAAAATTACAATTAAAATACATTACTCTACCTCAGTCAATAGAAACTGCCATTTTAGAAAAAACAAAAAAAACAACCACGAATCACTACAAGGAAATGCAAAGGCTCCCTGTAACACATCACTCAAAATCAATAAAGGCTCTGGCCACCACAAATGACAACACTAGCAGGAAGCCATGACTACCCATGTTTCAATGTAAAGCGCCCATAGATAGCCTGCTGCCAGCCCTCCATAACATTACCAGGATGTGGCTCCTGATCGCCCCAAGACACAGGCCTCACATCCTGGCAGTTGTTTATTCGGGAGACGGCTAAGGCAGGGTCCCCCAGCACACCTCCCATCGGCCACTACGACTAATGTCTCCGGTAGCAGAGCATTGCGAATATAATCCGGAAATTACCGGCCAGAGCCATTTAGCCACAGGCGGATTATTAGCCAGCAATGCGAGCATTGACAAGCACTCCCAGTAACCGGCCTCCCCTGAGCGCCCCACAATCCACAACTGCGTAACGGCAAAACAAGGCCCGAGGCCTGCAGCCAGCGCCGAGCCTGAGCTCGAGTAATCCTCCCCCTCAGGCGGCCACAGACAGCGCTGCTTACCGTCACTGCGAGCCCAGCCCGGGGTAATGAGCCGGGTCAGTGCAGTGACCCCATCCCCCCCCCACACACCGAGCCCCCAAACAGCACCCACCGCGCGGCCTTGCTCAATCCTCTTCGCCGCGATGTCCGTGCGTTTTCAGTCGTTTTGTTTTTTTTTTCCCCAACTGTTATTGTTTTTTTTCCTTATGTCACTATAAATGTGTCGTTGTTGTTTATGTTATAATTTTGTTTTGTTTTGTTGCTGCTGTTTTTCTTCTTCTGCTTCTTCTATATCGTCTCCGTGCGTTTTTCAGACTCGAAGCTCCAAGATGGCTTCCTTTCCTCCTTTAAACCCTCCCCGCGCCGCGCGTCCGTATATCCCTCCGCCGCCACAACGGCCCTCATACGGAGCGCGCACCCGTACCACGTGTCACTGCGCGCACTACTTTGTTTTTTTTTCCTTTTTAACCTCCAAATCCTTTCTTGTCACTGCAGCTAAGGGAGCCTGGAGGGTACAGTCTGTGTGGAACAACGTTCTAAATTCTGAATAGCTTTTCACTATCTATATATATATATATATGTATAGGAGGCGACATACGTAGTAGCAGAGCCCCCCCTCTCGTCCCCCCCCCCTCTCTGCAATGGCGGCTGCCTCACCATGGCGCATTGGTCACTGAGTGTAGTTCAGGTGAAGTAGGAGAAGAGCTTGCTGGTGATTTATCACAGAGCTCCAAGAAGTGTATAACACAATATTTCACCAGGATTAACCTGCAGACCTCAGGGCTTTATTCACTAAACAGTGATTTATGCATTGGTAAACCAAATGGCAAAATGTGGGCTAAAACACACAAATTTCAGGCATTTTCACTAATGTGTGAAATGGCAGAGTTTTGGTGACATACTGAAAAGGAATGACAGTATGGAATGCCCATAAACTGTAACAGGCCAGTAGAATGCCCATAGACAAGAAAGGAGCAGAAAGGAACGCCGTAGAGAATAATGAAAACAAACCATTTGAATTGGAAACAGAACTATTAAACATAGCAAATAAATATTTTACAGGCGTTCTCGCCAGGTTCAGTGGCAATTTTTAAAATTGCATTTAGGTGGGATTATCATTGAATGACTAACGAGAATGCCCATAGAGTATAAGGGGAAGCAACACAAACTCATTTGCAGGCAAATCTGTGTTACATAACAAATTAACCTTTACCACAGGTGTTCACCGAGTACAGCAACAGATTGCAAAATAGAAATTACCTGGGATTATTGCTCTTTTCTATGGAATGACTGGTGAATGATACAATGGAATCTATAGACTGTAAGCTCGTTTGAGCAGGGTCGTCTTCAACCTATTGTTCCTGTAAGTTTTCTTGTAATTGTCCTATTTATAGTTAAATCCCCCCTCCCTCCCCCCCCATAATATTGCAAAGCGCAACGGAATCTGTTGGCACTATATAAATGGCAATAATAATAATAATGGAATGCCCATAAAGTATAATGGGAAGCAATATGTGACTTGGAATCTGAACCGTGAAACATATTAAGTAAATCTTTTGCTGGCATACTCTCCGAGTTCAGTGGAAATTTTTAAAATCGAGATTAAGTGGGATTATCATTGTTTTCTATGGAATGACAAGGGTGAATAACACAATTGAATGCCCATAGAGTATAGTGTATATCAACTGTTTTGTAGAAAAAAAACTGAAAGACATAGCAAGTTAAACAGGACATGTATCCCTCCTTAGACAACTGTCTCATTCAAAGGCTTTGCCTTTAAATGAGACACTTGTTTCATGCTAGATTAAGAAACAAATAAGTAAATATTAATTTTTTTCATATTTACTAGTTTTGTCTCGCTGCATTTTCCATACCCCCTCTGCAGGGCCTATCCTGAACAAGTGAACACCTATCTCTGGATAGAGGCGCATCGCAGGACTAGGCCCTGCCCCTCGCAATAGGCCCAGCTCCCTCACGCTCTGTTCTGCCTCTTATATTAGACGCCCTTATTACACAAGGCACCTGTGACCACCAGGGAACTGGATTCCCCCTCCATGTCCCAAGGTAAGTCTCAGGAAGGGGGAACAAACTAGTGTTTATTTTGTTTTTTCTTCATCTCCTAACCCCCTACATGAGTCACTAAGCCATAAGTACAGCCCCTAACCCCCAATTGCAACCCCAACACCTGACTACAGCCCCTAACCACCAATTGCAGCTCCTACACCCTACTACAGCCGCTAACCCCCCCAATTGCAGTACCTATACCTTACTACAGACCCTACTACAGTCCTTTAGTCCTCACAACAGCCCCCATACCCTACTACAACCCCACTCTACCCCACTTACTCTACTACAACCCCTAATCCTCTACAACAGTGCCTTACTGTGAAATTGAAACCTCCATACCCTACTACAGCCCCAAACCCCCTACTAAAGACCTTTTAATCCAACAGCAGCCCCTATCCCCTCACTGCAGCCCCTAACCCCAGTACAGCCCGATCCCCTCTACCACAGCTTCTTATTCCCACAACAACCTCTATCCCCAAATGTATCTCCCACTACAGTCCCTACACTCCAAACACAGCCCCTATTCCCCCACTACAGCCCTAACCACCCTTCTGCAGTCCCATACCCCCAACCCCACTGCAGCATCCTTTTCCACACTACAGTCACTACCCCCAAATGTAGCCCAGATGCCCCACTACAGTTCCTATCCCCCAGTATAGCCCCTATCCTTTACCACAGTCCCTACCCCCCACTACAGTCCCTCTTACCCAAATTGAAGCTCAAATCCCCCACACTACAGCCCTTTTCTCCAATTGCAGCCATTCCCCAACTCAGCCCCTAACCCCGTACCACAGCCCATACCCTCCACTAGATATCCTAACCCCCCGATAACAGCCCATGCCCTCCACAACAACCCAAACCCTCCTACTGCAGTCCCTACCTTCCCAATATAGCCCCTGTCCCCCACTACAGCCCATTGCCACCTACTACAGCCCCTATCACCCTACCACAGCCTACTAACAGTGCCTCTTGCAAGATTAGGTTCTGGATCTGCCCCTGGCACTAATAAGTTATTGGGCACACAGGTGGAACTAATAAGCTATTTGGGCACAAATATGGCACTGATTAGCTATTTGGGACACAGATGGCACTGAGTAGCTGTATGGGGACAGTGATGGCACTGGGAACCAGGGCACAAAGATAGAACTGATAAGCTTTTTGGAGGAAAAGCTGGCACTGTAGTAAGTGGGTGACTCTATGGGCATTCTCTTTAGTCATTCACCATTGTCATTCCAGAGAAAATATTGATAATCCCACTTAATCACAATTTTAAAAATTGCCTCTGAACCTGTGGCGTATGCCAGCAAAATATTTACTTGATATGTTTCACGGTTCAGATTCCAAGTCACATATTGCTTCCAGTTATACTCTATGGGCTTTCCATTGTATCATTCACCTGTCATTCCATAGAAAAATGCTATAGGGGGCGTGGCCAGGAAGCCGGAGGACATGGTCGCATGAGCGGAGAGCTCCGGATCCCGACCGGGAGATAAAGGGGGAAAGGGACCCAATACACCCAGAATGGCAGCTAAAAAACAGCGTAACACAACGGGGCAAGCCCCAGCAGTCGACACCCCGGCAGCAAAAACCTCCCTGAGAAGGTACTTCGCCGAACAGGCTGACCCGCACAGACGGGACAAAATGGCGCCCGCAGCACAAACACGCGGGAGCCAGCCATCAAGCCCGACGGCATCAGAGGGTTCCACTGAGGATCAAGAAATCCGGACCCTGCTAACACAGCTGCCCTCAAAAGCAGACCTGGCAGCGATGTTCCAGAAACTGGAGGACAGCTTCAGTGAGAAACTGCAAGCAGTGGCAGCGGACGTGCAGCAGCTTGGAGCCAGAGTACAAGACTTAGAGGAGGAGGCAGAACACATCAACAAAAGAGGGGCTGAAGCCTATGACACCCAGGAAACACATGCAGAGGCAATAAGGTACCTACAAAGGAGGCTGGACGATGTAGACAACAGGGGACGCCGAAACAACCTACGGGTGAGGGGAATCCCCGAAAGCGCCGAGGGGGTAACAGAAAACCCCATACAGGTTCTAACCACCCTCTTTAACCGCATCCTAGCCAGACCTCAAGACACAGTCATCACCTTTGACAGGGCTCACAGGGCAGCTAGGCCCAGAAACCTCCCTCCGGATAAACCGCGAGACCTAATCTGTCGCATTCACAACTTTCCCTTAAAGGAAGAAATCTTCCGTAAAGCCCGCCAAAATAAAGATCTAACGATAGACGGCCAACCGGTAACGATCTTTCAAGACCTGGCTCCATCCACGTTACAAGCAAGACGAGCCTTGCGGCCTATCACACAGGCCTTGCTAGAGAGACAAATAAAGTTCAGATGGAACTTCCCGTTTGCACTGACAGTCAACCTCCAGAACAAAACCCACACTATTACCTCACCAGAAGACGTTCCTGACTTCCAGAGGGCACTCAAACTCCCACCGTCCGAAGTGGAAGACTGGACAGGGCTGGCAACCAACCCGTCAAGACAGGCCCCACAAAAGCCCAAATGGCAAAAATCCCCGAGGAAAAGGCGCAGGCAGAACCACCCCGGTACCAACCTAAGCGCTCCAACCAGAGAAGAACCAACCTGAGAACTGTTACGGTCGTATAAGCGCACACTCATGTTCCATATGTTTCACTTATGTATATATCTGCTATCCCTCTTTCCCTCTGTCGATACTATGCCAGATATGTTTACCTTAAAAGGCCATGCCAATGCAACTAAATACTCTCTACACTATGTAATCAATGTTACACTGCTATGCTATATTATGTTTTATTTAAAAATGTCATTAGTAGCCGCTACCGGGCCCTAGGGCCCTGCATTAGGATTTTAGTAACGTTATTCAACCTTGGGGCCTCAGGAGACCGGGTCCACGGGGGTTAAACCGAGGTCGCTCTCACCGCATACCCCATAACCCCCCCGATAAGGTGGGTGAGGGGTAAGTGTATGACATTCATGATTGCCCCGCTGGAACCCCTGGATGCCCCCGGTCGGGAGATCCGACCACCACCCCCCAGAGAGGCGCCCCGACTCCACTTGTGGTCACGTAGAGCTACCCACAAGTGCAGCGCCAATCTCACCACCTGAGATGAACCTCTCATCTCAACCCTATGTAAATAGTTTTTGTTTTTCCCCAACTCCCCCCCCAGGTACCAACCCTGCCACCACAATACCACTAAGCACATCATTCACGGGTATGACCCTTGACTCATTAAATATGCTTCTACTGCTGGATCCACCACCATGATATATACAAAACTAATGTCCCTAAATGTGCGGGGACTAAACTCACCTATGAAGCGCACGAT